TCCCTGAGCAGCTTTAAGAAGTCCAAAAAGTGCCCTGGGCTCCAAGACTTCCAACCCTGGGGCCCTGTCTCCTTCCCACAGGAAGAGGCTGTGAGGGATAAACTGGGTAGGGGATCAGACGCACTGGACGTCAGTTGACAGTGTGTGTGGAGCACCTCCTATAAGCCCAAGTCTGTGGATGGTGGTGTGCACACAGCAGTGGACAGCACAGTCCCACCTTCCCAGGTGCTCATGGACGGCAATACCTAACTGGGCTTCTCTGAGAAGCTGGGGAATGAAGGAGTAGAGTAAATGGGCAAGGGGGGAGGGAATCTTGCAGGCAGGAATGGTGAGAGATGGCCTGAGTGTTCCTGGAACAGCAGAGACCAGTGTGACAGGAACACGGTGAGCAAGGGGCAGAAGCTGGGGCAAGGGGAAGGAGATCAGTGAGAGCAAGATAACAATGGCTCATTTGTGCCAGGTGCAATTCGTTTTGCATGAATTGCCTCATTTATTCCCCAAAATATCCGAGACAAAATGGAACGAAAAGCATCCCCACTTTACAGGAGAGGAGGTGGAGGCTCAAGCGGCTCCGGTGACTTGCCCAGGGTCACGCTGATACCAGAGGTGACACCAGGGTGCCCACTCAGGCAGTCCAGCTGCAGAGTGCCTGGGAACCAGCACACCTGTGCCTGGTGCTCTCATCAAAGACGAAAGTCCAAGCATGGCTCACAAGAGCCCGATACCATCCCACATACCCACCCCAGCTCCACCTGAACAAACCAGTCGCCCCTTACCTGCCCCTGCACGATGGCCTTCAGCAGAGCCAGCACTGCGTGCCGGGCCTCTGGCGGCCGCTCTGGCTGCAGCAAGTCCGAGACGGCCTTCCAGAGTGCTTCCACTGCGTGCTGCCCGGCAAAAAGGGGACAGTGACTGGTTTGCTGGCCCCTCAACCCAAGAGACAGTACCACCGGCAAAGGATAGAGCAGAACGACGTGGTCATTTGACCTAGAATTTGCTCCTCTAAAGCCCACATTTCATATACCTGTCACGTCCCACAGTGACCATGAGCCTGACACGGGGAACAGCACCAAGTGACTTCAAACCCTCACAGATCCCTTTAACCTTCAGCAGGCCATAGGATGAAGGGAGGAAGGAGAACAGTAGGCCAGGAAGGCTGTCCTGGCTGCCTTCAGAGAACCAACAGGGAGCCCCTGCTAGGGCTTGCTCAGACCCCATGGGAAGAGTCTCAGAACCAGAAGAGCCACAGCAGTCTCTGGGCCTGAATCCTGACCAAGAAGTCCTGTGCTCTGGTTCCCCTCTGGGTCAACAAACCAGCCTTGGGCCACTCAGTACCACACCCCTACTCTGCTGTCTGGCTTGGCCTGCTAAGAACTCTGTGCTGGCTTCTGGAATCTGCCTCCTAACTAAGCCCACGCAGCCCATGGAGAAATTGGGTCCTGTTCCCCACAGCTACCCAGAATCACTCTCTCTTGTGTCACTTTATTCTCCATGTTAACCATCCCTAAATCCCTTCAGCCAGGGTTTTCTGACCACTCACCCTTTCCTGGGCTCACTCCTCTTAAGAAAGGGACTAAAATGTCTTTTAGATGTTGTTTGACCAATATTCTGACCAACTCAGGACACACTGAAACTTCACCTCCTTTGTCCCTCCCATCCACCATACTCCTACTGATGCAACCTAAGCCACAATAACACAGAGACACTGAGGCCGTGGACTCTCCCAGCCTTTTAAACCTGTTTATTCACATGACAGCAGCTCAGCCACAGCTCCCCTTTCCATACTTATACAGACTCTTCAAATGTAAATGCCTATTCTTACATTTATCCTTGGTAACATGCAGCCTGCACGTTTCAGATGACCTGCGGAGGATGCAGTGGTCACTCTCCCCCTCAGCAGATGTGTATCTGCTGGGTGTGAGGTCCCTATCTCCTCCAGCATCACTCACACAAAAAAAGTGGGGCAAGGCTGGAGCAGAGTCCTTGAGGAACTCTAAGGCAACTTCCTCCTCTGTCCATAGGACATCAGGAGAGGGCCTGGAAGTCTCTGGCAAAAATAAACACACCAAAGTCTGTGAGGCTGCTTAATACCACAACCAAACATGCCTTCCAAAAAGACAGAGACTGGTGTGCTTTGAATTTTCTCTGTGAAACCACACTCTTTCCTGATATTCCTCTATTTTCCCTCCCTGTGAATCTGTAACGTGAGAGGACAAGTGAGTGACTTTCTGTAAGCTACTACGAAATTTTTTCTGGATCTGCTAGAAAAGCCTATTCCCTCTGCTCTCCACCTCCACATGCAATTGCCCCCCCACACCCAGGGTTGTGCTCAGGGTATTTCCAGAAGCTTCTCTGTCACTCAGATGATAATTAAATTTCCCTGAAATGGTGTGTATCAGTTCATTAACAAAGTTAGCTGTCAACCCTGCTCCTAGAAAGAGCCAAATCAGGCTTTAAAACAGCTCCTATGACTCTCCCCAGTCACCCAACTGAGACAGACCTACCTCTTCAAATTTCTTCGTTTTGGCAACTTCACAGATCTGCCCTATCACCCGGATGCGATTGCTGAGGCCACATTCAACACTCAGTTCCTGGAGAGAGATGGAAAAAGGAAAAGGAGCCAGTGCTCAGGCAACAGATCTCACCTGCCAACCACAGAGCACTCTAAGAACTCTCCTGCATTTCCCACACTGGAGACCCACAGCACAGCATTCTGAAATCAGGAATCACCAGAATTTACTACTCCACCATAGTGGATTGAGAACAGGGGACTCTTTTTTCACTACTGCATTTTAAAACATTGATATATAATTCACATTAACATAAAATTCACCATTTTAACAACTTTAAACTGTATAATCCAGTTTTTAGTATATTCATAGTGTTTGCAACCAGGGTCATTAATTCCGGAACATTTTCATCACCTCAAAAGGAAGTTCCATACCCATTAGCAGTCACTCCCCCATGCCCTCCTCCCCCGTAGGCCCTGGGAAATGCTAATCTACTCTATCTCTATGGATTTGCTTATTCTAGACATTTTGTATAAATGGAGTCATATGTTATGTGGGCCTTTGTGACTGGCTTCTTTCACTTAGCACAATGTTTTCAAGTTCCATCCATTCTATTCCATGTATCAATATTTCATTCCTTCTTTTGCCAAAAAATACTCCATCATAGGGATGTATCACATTTTATTTATAACTTCAGCTGATGAACATTTTGGTCATTTCTGAATGGGAAACTATACAAGTGCAAAAATTCAACATCATTTATGGGCAAAGCATTGAGCAGGCATGTGGTAGGGGGATTCCAACAGAGACAAAAAAAGTGAAGACTTACTTCTCCCAGGAACTCATAAATTACCAGTAAACATCTGGCCATAACCCTAATCACCTGTGGAGACCATGGCGTTCAGGTCACATCTAGTAAAACAGGTTTTCTTGCATCAATATCTAAATACTAACTCAAGCATGCTGGACCAAGTCACCAAGATCCTGACTTCCTGAATCTCCAGCAGAAACAGATGTACGTCACCACTGTACGGGGGACAGCAGCTCCACAGATGGTCACCAGCAACCCTCTCTCACCGAACCTGGTGACACACGAAACTCAGCCTTCCTTGCACCTCCTACTAAACTGACAGAGAAGACAGATTGCTCACTCACTCTCAGGATTTCCGCAGTGATGATAAACTCCGTCTGCTTGCCCTCTGCAGACCTGGGATTTGGCCTTGGAGTTCCCAGTCCCAACAGAATCCTGAATTTCTCCTTGAAGCCTGAATCTTTGCTTGTTGGCTTGGCCATGCTGGGCAGGGACACACCAGAGGACTCCTCTGTGCCGAGAATCAGGCATAGAGATCTCAGGAACAGCTCCACCCACCTGCCCCGGTGCAGACCCACAACAGTCAGGGAACCCTAGGTCTCTAGTGGGCACGTACTTTCCTCCCACAGCCCCTGGGAGAACTTAACCACAACCCGGAGGTCCCGCCCAGAAATAAACGTGGGAAATGCCAGGCCGCACACCCGCATAGTCTGACTCAATGCATGGAGTGAGGGAGGGGAACTGGGGACGGGGGCGGCCGCCGTGGGGTCCAAGGAGCCCTGACGTTTGCCATCTCCCCCTGTGGAGGACTATCAGGGGATGCCGGAAGCAGGGACTCCCTCGCACCAGACATGACTTAAAACCAAAGAAAGCTTGGAGCTCCAGGGTCAGGCTGCAGTGGCGCGGACACTGCCGGGGTCCGCCCCGGCCCG